ATCGGGAAGCGGTCAACTTCCAGACGGCTTCAGGCTTGATCGGCTCGGGCGTCTCAGGACGCTCGGCTGGTAAAGGAGCTAATTCCACCGAACTGACTCCGCCAAAAAAGTCAGTCATAAGGACTTGACTCATCGATCGACCCAAAAGGTCTGACCGTGCAGCAGGCGTCGAGTGGAAGATATCGAAGGAATATGCATTCACCTGTCAACAGAAAAAATGGATTATTTAGTTATCACGATGTTAATGAAAAAAACTTGAGTATATAACGAGTTCATCCTCACAAAGTCTTGGAGAGTGGATGATGATGTTTTATTCATGGCTTCCAGATGGCTTAGAACAAAGTGACTGTATCGATCTACAACAGCTACGCCGATATCAGAATCTGCGTGATGCTAGGATACACACCCAGAGACGGTTAACTCAAAATCAAACCAAGCAGAAGGGAAATAAGAAGGAGACTCACCGAATATGAGTTTTCGCCCTTGGCTGATGAGCCAGTAGCGACGATGTTGGGAGAGTATAATTTGCTAGTCATCGTGTTGGCTTGGCAAGTATCGATCATGAAGAGCAGTTCATTGTATCTATAAGGATTCCGAAGAGATCAATCACGTAGCACCAGATGGCTGAACCACATGAACAGAAAAGTAGCTTACCGCTTTTTGGCCCACATCGTCTGGAAGGCATCGGCGAGATCGAATGCGCTGATTTCCTCGGCGTCTTGAAATTTGAGGAATTCATCTCCACCATGACCGGTCATGTAAACCAGAATATTCGACCGTTCATCGGTCATGAGTCTCTTTGATCTTGGAGTTCCTTCAGCCACTCGGCCTATCAAAATCAGATAGATTTTTGTTTTTGTTTCGACTTAGTCATGTTGAGGAGTTGGATAGATCAGTTTGGTTTTGATCTGACCAGTCAACAACCGTATAAAGTTTTCCACCGATACTTCTTCTCCTCGATAATCCACTTCGATCCCATCCCCATAGAGGTCTAACTTGCGATCAGAATTGCTGTAGACCGTTCCTGGAAACATGTTCCTCGGATTACAAGCCATATCGTCTGCCAGCATGAGAATGATATTTGAGTCTGGAATCCCGAGTCGTTTGACGGAGCGATACCTACGAAAGGAATGAATATCGCGGTGGTTTTAGAATGGTGTTGTATGCTATCTTTTGATTCTCCCTGAAGCTCACATGCCCAAGGTATTAGCAATGTGCTACCGAAGTGGATGATCGAAAATGGTGTGGTTAACAGATCTATTTCAACGCGGTGATTAAGCATGTATCCTGGAACGCACTCGATAGTTGAACCTGTAAATTTTACAAACAGATGAGTGAGAAATGAGTGTTGCAGTGTGTCTGAATAAGGAATAGATGAGACTGACCAAAACCTGGAGGTACAAACCAAGACAGCCCAGTTATTTGAATGGTCAACAGCGTTTGATCGGTTGGCCATCGTCAGAATAGCGAGTGGGATAACCGCCATCGAGATACATCTCCTCCAAGTCCATGGGGTAGATAGTAGTAATGATACCATGATTACTGAGACTGTATTGAGCTTGACTCTGAGGTTTTGGTGTGGTGGGCTGTGGTGGGTGATGGCCTGGCAGTAGGGATGATAATTGGGCGGGTTTGGGCCGCCCACAGGCTAGCCCGGCTCTGCCCGCGACTTAATTGGGCAGGCCGGGCCGGGTAAAAACATGAGATTTTGATGTCCGACCCAAGTCCATGTCCGCAATGTGGCGGACACGGGCTGTCCAGCGGCACCCCGCTGGGGCTACTGGCCAGTGGGCTATGCGGGTGACCCATGGGCAGCCCACCAGGAGCCCACGGGCTGGGTTGTTTGAGGCACAAAAAAGAAGTTTTTCACGTTTACTACAGTCTACAAAAGCTTGAGGGAGAAGCGGAGACAAAAAAAAACAAGAGAACAAAGCTACATAGAGGATGAACAGACTACATCTCCTTCATCCAATCCTGAGAGCACAAGAGTGCCTCAGCACATCTCCTTCATCCAATCCTGAGAGCACAAGAGTGCCTCAGCACATCTCCTTCATCCAATCCTGAGAGCACAAGAGTGCCTCAGCGGTATCTTTGCTCAGTCAGCTTTGGTAGTCGTCCAAGACATGACCACCAGTGGAAAAGGCTGATTCCGATGCCAAGTCACAGCTCATAGCAGTATCCTGCCGGAACATTCAAGCCTGCGGGCACCTGCTAGACCAGCCCGCGCCGACCCGCGCCGTTTAGTGACTTTAACAGGCCGGGCCAAAGTCCAAATATTTCACAAAAGCACTGTCCGTGCCCGACCCAAGCCCGGCTGGGTTTGGGCGGCCTATTGGACACCCGGCCCAAATATCAACCTTACCTGGCAGTGCTTGGTGTGGCCGAGTGCTACATAGTCCGCGTCCTCGATCGGTGACATCCAGGTGACCCTCGCTCTCAAGATTACGTCATCATGGAGTTTTCTGGGGCTGAAGCTTCAAAAGTTTCTGTCCAGCCAGCACTCTCCCTGGGTTTCATTCTCTGGAAGCTATCTACTACATAAATCAGAGTAACTGATCTTTTAGTTGGTTTCGTGCTGGAAATAATACAAGGAGAGAAAAATTGAAGAGGAGGTCTAGTGAGTATCTACTTTCCACCCTCTCACACTGAACTCGTTCCGAATTAGGGAGGGGAAAGACTGACTGATCGGCGATGTTTGTTTGCCTTCTTCCTGAAACAATCCTAAGCTTTTCCAAACAGTTCCTGCAAGTCACTATCGACGAGGGTTCCAATTGTAAGTTGATTTGGTCATTCAGCTAGCTCTTCAACCAAGCATTGACTCTTTTTCTGTATGTATCCTTCTCGTATGTGGTGGTGCTACAGTCAATCGTAAAAACGAAACTCCAAGCTACCAACTACACAAGACATCTCGTTCGCATTCTGATGCTGAACTGGTTCGGCGATGTCTGTCTCTGATCATGGAGCTCGAGCCCGGTCGAGGATCTCTTCATTCAACGCTGACGAGAACACGACACCAATCAACAACACCCTGGAGTCCCCATCACCTCATCTACCCACAAGCCATTCAACCGGGGAACTCTTCACCACCCCCGCCTCTACCGCCAGCTCGACCCTGCTCTCCCAATCTTCTTCCGACGCTTATGTCAACGATCCTTGGTCTCCAAAGCTCCTTTCTGGCTCTAATTCGGTCGACGGCTTCGAGCCTGATCCTCGATTACAAGGAAATATCAGTTTAGTTGACTCCTTCAACTCTGCATAACCGCCACGGGCTTCTCAATCCTCAATCCCTTCTTTGATCTTCTCTTTCTAGACGACTCGGCTTTGCCCATCATCTACCATCAAGCCTTCAATGCTACCGATCCTTCGAACGGAACCGCATCAATAGCAAATGTTCATCGTGTCCTGGCCAGCAGTGGGGTCGGAGCCAGTGCCATAGAACAAGTCTGTCTGTCTTTTGTTTGATTCATCCACCAACTCTCAAGACTTGCCTCTGATTTGGTATTATTTGGTTTAATTCATTGTTTGCTAGATCCTCAGTGTCAGTTGTGGTCGTTCATCACGAGTATCTAAACAAGAATTTAGCATCGCATTGGCCGCCGTTGCCTTTGCTCAGCAAGGAAGATCCCGTGAGCAATATTTCTTTATCCCCAATTCAGCCATCATCCCCTCCTCCAAGGTTATAAAAAAGCATCCCATATCTATGCTCACACCAACGAAACTGAAACCAAAAATAAATCCGGGTTGAAATTCTATTGTGAAGCAATCATGACGTTTATTTATGTGTATATGTGACCTTTTCTTTGACGGCTAAAGCATTGTGCGTACAGAGGATCATCTCCAGGAAGGGGTCGTTCCCACTCCCAACACTCGACCTTGGCACATCTCTCAACAACCCCATCAGGTCACAAACTCAACGGGCTGCGTTCCCTGAAGATCCGTGGTGTACGAGTCCATCCTCAACCATGAAAGCACGATCTGCTGAAGCGTCGACAAGTTTACCATTCCTCATCGATCAGGCTGAGATCTCTGCCCCACGAGTCCCCGAGCCCCGGCTGGCTAGTCGGATCGAACCTGATCCTCAATTCTCCAATTCTCGCTTCTTGCCCACCTTCAATCCTCTGTTACGTGATTCAGTATCAATCAGAATGAGCTCTCCCGAGGGTTGGCTCTTGAAACATAACGTCTATACCGTCGAACATGAACGGAAAGGTACCAGTGTTCCTCGAAGATATAGTGACTTTGTTTGGCTCCACGAGTGTCTTTTGAAACGATACCCTTTTAGGCTTCTTCCGATCTTACCTCCCAAGCGTTTAGCTAGTCAGTCCCCATCTCATTCTGATCCTCTACATACTCCCTCCTTCCCCCGTCTTCTTGCAGAATTTTCTTTTCTCGCCCTTTTGAAATACTTTCTGACGTTGTTTTGGATGACTAATTTATGAATTTTTCGGGTACCAACCTTCCCTCTTTCAATCGACTCAAATTTGACCCTAGTTTCTGGGCATCATCTTGTAGCAGGTGATGATTCGCAGTTTTTGGAACGACGGCGCCGGGGCTTGCAGAGATGTCTAAACTTCTTGGTCAACCATCCCGTCCTATCGATCGACTCGATCCTGATCACATTCCTAAGTGAACCCTCGGACCTAGCCACCTGGCGATCACATTCGCGAGTCCATCTGGTCGAAGAATCCGTGACGACCCGTCTGACGCCAGCCGAAGAGATGTCAATCCCGGAGGACCTGGACAACCATTCTGCCACCTTCCGTTCCCGTCTCCCGTTGATGATCGAGCATTGGGGAAGGATCTGCAACGGCTTGGAACGGATGGTGCGGCGGAACGAGGCGCAGAGTGTGGACCTGACGAAGATCCAGTTTGCGATTGGATCGGCGCTTGAGAGCGGTCGGGCGGCGTTGAATAGCGAGCAGTCAGAATGGACCTTGAATGAGGTTCAACGAGCCGAAGAGGAGACTGAGTTAGTCGGCCAACATATTGGCAAACATGCCGAGATTATCGATCATCGTGCCGGGCGATTAAGCCTATCGACCCAGGAACAGATCCGAGCGCACAAGGAATTATTCACGAACTTTGTCAGTCTCTTCGATCGTATAGACCGACTGAGCGGGGACGATGTGGATGAGCGATTAAAACCGAGGGCGGAGTTGAATACGCGGAAGATGGAAGCGGCGCGAGAGGCCCAGAAGCCAGGCTGGGAGGACGAGGTGGATAAGCTGAAGAATCTGATCGAGCAGGATCGGGCTGGGATCGAATTCAAACTGCGGAGGAGGGTCTTCATTCGTTGGTGCTTGTGGCAGGAGATCGTGCATACTCTTAGGGTCGCTAGTCTCATTCGCTTCACGTGGAAAGAATTCGTCGATCATGAACGCCAATTCTCCGAACGTTCCACCCGTAATTGGTCTGACTTAATCGAAATTATTGACAGCGTTTCGCTGTAATACACGTTCCTTTTTTTTAAAAAAAAACGAACTTTCTTTTTTAATAGCTTTCTTAATTCTTTTTTTAGTCGTTTTGTAGTTAGTATTGTCGTCTGAGTATGTTTTTTCATCACTTTAATCATCTGCTACTTTCCTTTCCTTTTCTAATGATAAACGAAAAAGCGATAGAAAAAAAAGCGCATTGATTGTATTTAAGAAGACGTTGTCTATTGTGTTCTGATCAATCTTTCATTTGTAATGTGTCTCATGCTAGAAATTGAAAGTACATAGCCCAATCAAGGATGCTTTGTTTCATCGAAAGGGGTTCTAGCTCATCGGTAGAGCGCTCGCTTAGCATTCCGCTTGAGTCAAATGCGAGAGGTACAGGATTCGACTCCCTGGTACTCCAGTCACTTGTATTTTTTTGGCTTTTGTTGCCAGTACGTTCTTGTTGTATTTTGTTCTGCTTATTCTTTTGAACAAGAACAAGAAATTAAACATCAACCGTCCAGTTGAACCTTCTCTTTCTTCAGTCGGTCAAAAGAAAACATTTCAACTCCCGGCACTCTCGAGCTCCCTGAACCCTCTATCTTTGTCGAAAAACAGAGGTCCATCGTCAAGTCAACTTACTCCATCGTCAAGTAAACTTGGTTGCAATTCTATTTCTTTTTTTGATAGTGTTCATCACTCTTTTGTTGCAATGCATCAAAGTGTTATCTTATCAATTAGCTTTTTTTTAGCCTTGCCCCTTATGACGCTCACGCTGAACTCCGGACTTACACACTTAAGATTGGCGCGCAAAGGTTAGAGTTATAATTGAACCGATTCTGAAATGATCGCAATGGCCTTTCGAGGCCAAAGGGCGAGCAAGCAAGCAACCTGCATAAGTTTGTTTCAAGTGTCTCAAATATCCGGAATCTTAAGCTCAAGAGATTTCGCAACCGGGAGAGGTTTTAAGCAAGCCTCAGGAGCCACAACCGCTAAATCGCCGCGACCTCAAGGAGTAATCAAAACCGTCGGAGTAATGTATTTATTACATCACAAGACTTCTCAATTGTTGTCTCTTGGAGGTTGCTTGAACTTACCCATGGCCCCAGCGGCAAGTTTCCTTTGTTCCAGAGCTGCCGTTTGACTGACCAGTGTCGAACCCTCTGATAGCCAGCCCAAGCTGATGTTGACTATATGTACATAAACGATTGGGTGGTCGGGAGCAAACCAGAAAACGGCATGATGTCGGAAGACAGGTTTCGCTCAAAAAAAAGCAATGCACTGAGGTTGTTTTGGGACAGAAAGAACTTTGCAGTCCAGCCAAAAACAAAAACAAAAATCCACCGAGACCTGGCTCCAGACCTATGCTCAGATGATTTCTAGACTTTGCACACCGATCTGTGGAAAGGAAAAGCTCGGTGGCCACTGTGCAGTCAAGCGAACTGGCTTGCACACCCGCTTTGATCTCAATTCGGAATGATTATTTTCGCGTCGCTTTCGATCTTGTTTTTTGAAATTTTGCAATATGTCGATGATGAGAAGCGAAGCTTAGTGAACTACATAAAAAAACGATACAACAACAAGCGACAGAGATAATATAGACGGAAGGAAATACAGAAGATGGAATAGAGAAGCCGGAAAAGAGTCGCTCATCATGGTTATCGATGTATCCGTCAAGCAGAGTAAGAAATCAACTGGAGTAGTAGGGATGTGAATGAGACTAAAGCAAGAGGAGAAAGGCGGAGTATCACTTGCTAATGTACAACAAAATTTCAACAGAAATAATTGTCCATGGAGCTAGTTCTTGTTGGTAAGAATTTAACGATATATTTTCGAGTGATGTTAACATAAATCGAGGTATATATCATCAGCCCAAAAAACGAAGGCAATGGGTGCACATTGCCTTGGACACTTTGTACCTAACAAGACAATATGCACACATTGCCGTCGTTTTCGGGCTGGTTTATGAGAAGTAAAAGTTGAAATTTGTATCATAATACATCGAGTTAGAAGCAGCCGAAATAATCAAACATAGTCGATGAAGAAAGTGATTTGAGCTTTCATCGGAGTGATACATGTCCAACGTTCCTCCGTCGTTCTTGGTTCGGGGTATGAGATCGATCGAAACTCTTCAATAAATTCCAATCCGATTTAGGTAGAGGAGGAAACTGAAGTCAAGAGGAAGAAAAAGAAAGACCAGAGCACGTTTCTATTTCCGAAAAGCAGGCAAGTGCATAAGAAGGGGAGAAGCGACCCAATCCCGCAGAGAAAATAAGCACCGGGCCACATACGTAGTTTAAAGATAGCCTACAACGTCCACTAGGGCGATGACTCGCTGGGACAGTTCCCGTCCGAGGTGTTCCTCACACTGGCCAGTCTCAAGATGGGCCATCAGGTCGCTCAAACAGAAGAACTCTGATTGTTGGCAGCGTTCCGATGGGCAATGATAGGCCCGGAGACCCCAATTCTTGTGTGGGGGACTCCACACATGACATGTCAGTTCGTATGGAGTTCGAAACCGCTTGTAACATAGTCTGCACCAGTAGCGACCTCGTCCATCGAGCTCGAAGTTGGGCATGGGAGGCTCCTGGCTGATCCTCTCACTGCGAACAAATCGTCCGTCGGGGTCGCAACGGCCGCTGAAATAGTTGTCGACGAACCGAAGATCAACCCATGACGGACATGTCAACCTCTCGAAATGCGCCACTAATGACGATTCTCGGGCAAACTGTCGACCACAGGCACACTCGTAATCCATGATCTGGTTTGTACAGTCGTAGACATGCTACAAAAGGACAGAGAGTTACAGTCAAATGAGCCCGAATACCGCGTTTGAGAATTCTCTTCTGCAATATCGTGTTGAGTCAATCTGACTAACCCGTACAAACTCGACTCTGGTGAAGAAGACGCGTCCACATGCGACGCAATGCAGTCCGGCTGCTGGTGGCCGAAACGGCAGAGAGTTTGGATCATGGCGATGTCGAGGTGAATTATTTAAGTGTTGTATGTAACTATGGTAGGCATTGAAGCCACGATTGCAAGGTGAACAGAATGCCATAGTAGGAGAGGTTGATGGGTTAAGAAGTGGATCTAAATGTGTATTTTTTTAGGTAGAGATGGTTTTGAGGAGTATTCTAGTAGGGAGGGATGGTAGGATCAAGAGGCTTGAGAGGCGAGTTTAAATGAGTATTTTGAGGGGGGGAAAAGGGGCAGACGCTGGCTGAAGAAAGTGGGAAGAGCCGATCGGGTTGCAGCCCTTGTAAGTCAACCCGACTTGAAGTGATGGGGCCATCTATGAGGCAAGACCAGTCAATGTTAAATCTATACAACCATCCGTTTTCTTGGAGAGTATCTGCCAAGTAATTGTCCAAAGCCCCAACGTATTAGATTGTCCATTGCCTGTTTTTTTTAAAGCTTCCATTGGTGTGCTAGATCGGACTAGCAACACGTACGACTCGGTAGCAACTCACAACACAGGCCTGTTTGAAATACCATTGTTTTGGCGTTTGGCTCCGAACACTCGCCCTTGCGCCTATCGCGTCCCGAGAATCAATCATGGGTACCTCGACCGGTCCGGTAATAGAAGCAGGGCTAGGCTCTCATCGTGGTCACTCGGTTGATTGGGAATATGCGATGGCTGGTCCATGGCCTTGGCCTAAGAAAAACCTCAGGGATTTGGATGGAACACTCTGAGGATGTGAGGTTCCATGACTGTCACTGATTTTTTGCACATGACCTTGGCCTAAGAAAATCCTACGGGATTCGGGCGGGACACTCTTAGGATGTGAGGTCCCATAACTGCCCCTGATTGTGGATTTCATCAATTGGGGTGGACATGACCCAGGAATGGACTACAAGAGGCAACAACGGGGCTCGGATAAGAGCCAGTGAGTTGCTTTGAATCTCTTGATGGTGGATATGACCCAGAGGATAATATGTTTTCAATTCGCATTCAATGTAGGAAAGGAGTTGGATATGACCAATAGATTGTTCTGCCCAACTTGAAGGAGGGATCGAGTTTTATCCTCCTGGAAATCTACCCATCAATGCCCTCGCCCTGGAGGTTTGCCCTCGCCTTGGAGGATTGCCCTTGGCCCCTTGCCCTGGGACTTAAAAGGAAGTTCGCCCGCGCCTGCGCCCTACGTAAATAGATTGGGCGACCGCAAGCTAGACTGCGCCTGCTTTGCTAGTAGCTTTAAGCAACCGCAGGCTGGACTGCGCCTGCTTTGCTAGAGCTCATCTCAGATAAACAACTTGGCTGGATACAATGACTGAATCCATCTGATTCCTGATGACCTGTCTACATGGACTGTAGGGAGTGATTTTCGGGAAAAACTACCCCCTTTTTTCCTATGAGAAACTTTTTTTTTCTTTTGAAAACATTTCAATAATCTATCTAGCCTCATCAGACCGGTTCTGTCTTTTTTTTATTTCTGGTTTCAAAAATGTGATCTCACATGATAAAAGAAAATCATAGAAATTGAAGTATGGGAAATTGTGACTTGATTGATCTACGCTACCAAACAAAACAAACAAAAAATGAAGGGGGAAAAAAGCAGATCTCTTGTGTATCAAAGCTAGAAAAGCATCCAAGAGAGTTGAGCGCAATATATATGAAATCTACCTTTTTTTTATAAAAAAAAAAAGTTTAGCTGGATACAGTGGAGTTTATTAAATATAAAGAAAATACATATACTAACTATATTATGGGAAATAATCTAGTAGAGAGAGAGAGAGAGAGAGAAACAAGGGCCGCAAAAAAAAAAAAAGATGGAGAAGAGGAAACAAGCGGAACCAGACTATCTTTTCAAGCTTCTCTTTTTGTTATGGTAGCCCATTCGTTTCGCATATTCGGCCTCTTCGATGGCCGTCAACCCGTCGGTACCAGTCCAATTAGCAGACGAAGTACGATGGCGAAACTTCGACGTCCTTCCTCTGAATATTTCTACAATAACATCATACCAACCCCCACATCGCCATGAATCAGCTCGGTTATTCGCCTTTTCTCTTGTGACCAAGTAGAAAAGGAAAAGAGAAAAAAAAACTTACCATCCATTCTGGGAGGTGGAATCGTCCCTCCAAAAACATCATCCGGGTTGACCTTTCTTTGGTTGGCGAGGGCTTCTTTCAGAGCAGGACTCTGAGCCCAATCAGGCAACTTAGCCTCCTTGCGCTCATGTTCTGATACGTCGTCCTCCTCGGAGTACTCCGAATCAATGTCTGGGAGCTCGATATACTCGTCCTCAACGACCTTCTCTTCTCTCATCTTGCCTTTAACCATCGGCTGAATGCCCTTATTAACCGGATTGGTTTGGTGAGAGCTTTGGCTTGGATTAGTGTGTTGAGACGCCCCCGTGCTCTTGGGAAGCCCACTGTGCTGGGACATTTGAGAGACCGGACGCGATGGCGGATTGGGCTTGGTTTTTGTGCTTGTCGAGCTCCCCGCATGTGCGGCCTTTGAGCTGGTCTGTTTCATCGCCGAGCCTGGTACGCTTGGAGCCGTCCGGGTAGGCAAGTATGAATTTGTGGGTGGTTTTTGAGCACTAGAAGGGATCTTGCCATGTGGCTCCGCTGCTTGCGGCGCTTTAGCCTTCTTGGGGTCGATGGTCCGATTGGACTCATTCTCTACCTTCCGCTTCTTGGCAGCGTCTCCCGTCATCGAGGCCTGTCGGCTTCCCGGCTGTTGTATTCGAATGATGAGAGATTGTTGGGTTAGTATGATGGCCCAGAGACACAAACGTTGATAAAGAGCTTACCGGTGCATGATTGGTCGGGACTTTAACCTTAAAGGTTGTTCGCGCTTTCAGCGCCTCTTCGCGCTCTTGCTTCTTTTTCTCGACTTCTGCCATCCTTGCCTTTCTCTCATTCTCAGCCTTAGCCTTTTCTTCCGCCTGTTTCTTTTCCGCCGCCAGTAGGCGTCTTTCTTCTTTCAGCGTCGCTTTTCGATCCCTCTCATCTTGCTCCTGTACAATTGGAATATGGAAAACACGAGTTAGCGGGATCGTTTGACAGCCGTACTTGGATGTTATTTAGTTACAAACCTTTTTAGCAGCTGCAGCTGCAAGCTGCAAGCTCTTCAGTTCTGGCCTATCGGGCTTAGGCTTTGTTGCGGTCCACGAGCTAGCAAGCGCCGCACCGGCTTTGAAGACACCCATGAGTCCAGTTGATGCAGGAGAGCTGGGCGTCGCTGGAACGTTGCGCGGCGTTTTAGTCATCTCCGATTGTGTACGATTGCGCGGATGGGGCTGCTGGGAAGAAAAGATAAGGTCAAAAAACGCCAACCATCATCAAATGAGGTGATGAATAAAGTGTGAACTGACCACATTAGATTCCTGTTGGCTTCTCGAATCTTGTTCATGATCTGAATTAGTTAGGATTTGTTTGGCATGTGAACTGACGATTTCCACGGAGGGCTCTCATATGTATCATCGTCATTGCTTGCATCATCCTCGGCCTCGAGTGTTTCTCGTGATCTTCGTTATCCTCACTCGATAAATTGGAATTTTCATGTTGATCATCCATTTCATTTGGCTGGGAAAGCTTGCTGCTTGCAACGGATTGACGGTCTTCATCTTCTTCATCTGCAGTGCCCGCTCGAGGTTGCGGGTCGTCGTGATCAGATCCCACGGAATGGTCAATAGTCCCGGAGGGTGGATTTCGAGTAGACTTTTCCAACTCCGTTGAAGGAGGTGGGGAAGTGCTGGCTCCGATGGCTCCTTTCAAGAACGCCAGATGCTTGGTTTCAATTTTGGTAGCGGGTAAGACAGACGCAACCTCTGATGGGGAGGAGAGGCCGGTATATTGAGCGCCAGTAGGTAAGGGACTGATGCGAGCCTCTGCAGTCAATGACTTGCTGTTTGCTTCATCAGCGGCCAGCATGTTGACGATCAAATTACTACTGCTGGTTTGTTTGTTCTGGAAATTCGCCGCCGTTTCTGGTGATTGACCACTGCGGGGCCCGTCTTTGTGTTGGGCCTTGGAAGAAGCTGCGGGCTCAAGAGTGGCAACCCTACTTTGAAGATTGATCGGCTCAGTCAGCTGATGTGCAGTTTGAATCTTGGATGAAGCCGAGAGTTCAATTGGGGCACTGAAATCTCGGTGGATATCCTGTGGATGGCTGCGTATTTCGGTAGTGCTGTCTCGATCGAGTTTCTCGGTAGCGGCTACGTGATTAATCGGAAACGTCGAACCAGTTGCCGTAGGCAGAGCCTTGGAGAAGGAGGTGGCGTTCGTGTGAGTGACGAGTGAGCTACGCGGGTTGACGTTGAGGGGGGCTTCGACACTTGTACCCGAGGGATGATGGTGCACGCGTTCATGCATCGCACTCTCTCGCTGTATCTTGGACAGTCTGCTTTTGAGGTCTTCCATGCCTTTCCTTGCCGTGGCACCCGTTGTGGATGGTCTGACGTGCATCATTCCAGGAGTGTGAGATCGACTCATCTTAGCATCATGTGCATCTGAAGTGTGATTGAATCCGGCATCTGTAGATGTTCGCTTCATTCCTGACCGTCGAGAATGTTGTGAGTCGATTGCCGCAATGGGCTGGGCTAGTGAGGACGCTAGAGGTGTTTCAGCCACCGCACTCTGTTGAACCGAAGTGGATTGTAGATTCGATAAAAGATTGACGGGCTTGGACAAATCTTCGAAGGGGGACCCAGAAAGCCCGCCTTTGTTCCTTTCGCTTTGAGCAGCAGTTGCCAAGTTGGAAAGAGCGGCAGGAGTCTTAAGTGGTTTGTGCTGGGTCCAGAGGGCACCGCTGGGCTTACTAGACCACTGGCTATGCGGTGATCGAATCATAGCTGAGCGTGGGTTCCCAGGAGTAAACAGATTGGATCCAGTTGGTTCCCCAGGGGTGCGAACTTGGTGATCTGGCAATTTGTCTGAGTGAGAAGATCCGATAGAGGCATACAAATTGTTTCGAAGGCTTGACGGTTTGTCGCTCAACGGAACCTCAACAACTGTATCAACATGTGGCAAGGTGGGTACAGCTTCCTGAGGCGGTAACTGCTGCGCCTGTTCATCGGATTCCTGTTTGATCATGGGTGCGGTCGGGTTGTGACTAGATGATGAATGGAATCTCTCGATATGGTTGCTTTGGCTCTGCTCTGAGTTTGAAGCTGACGATGTGGGTTTACTTGCTGGGTCACTGGCTGGATGTTCCGGAGTGAGAAGTTTGTTGACCGCGGCTGAGGAAACATTGGATATTGTTGAGGGCGCAGTGGAATTGGAAGGAAGTAGATCCAATGGAGCTGGAGTTGGTTTAGTATTGGATGTTCGCAGGTCAGTAAGCTTCGTTGTTGCCACTTGAGACACACTTCCAGGCAGGTTGTCTATATCAGGAGTCTTGGCGGAGTGCGACACCTGGGGAGGGATGGGGTCAGAATCATAAACACCCGTATCAACTGAGTTTGTGTCTGGAGCCGATGGCGAGTCCGACAAGAAAGCTGGGCGATGAGACTCATCAACACGAGCCTCAAGATTTTCAATGTTTGCTGAAGCATGCTGGGGGTGTGGAGATCGGGCTTGAGGCGGTGGGGTGGTAGATTTACACTGCGGGGGAGTGGGCGTCGTTTTGGTCTGGGGTGGTGGAGTGGTGAGTTTTTTGTGGGTTGGTGAGGCGGAAACTGAATGTGTTAGTCGAGTGGAAGATGTTAGTTTCTGTGGGGGCACAACTTCTGAGGTCGATTGGGTAGAGAACAGTGATTTGGGTATCGGTGGTGGCGGCTCGGTAAGATGGTGATCTTCCTCCTCCTCTCCTTCTTGAATAGCCGACAATTCGTGACCAGCTGCAGCAAACACGTCGTTAGGATCGGCTGCGGACTCGTGGCTCGGTTCAGTCTCTTCAAGTTCGGAGTCCTGCTGAGAAAATGGACCGAGTGGCTTGATAGTAAAGGGATCTTTATGATCGACTTTCTTGTTAGAGGAAGATGACAGTGAAAAGATGTTGTCCTCATTGGTTTTTGTTGACCCAGAAAGGCCAGATGATAATACGATTTTGGAGGGAAGAATCGAGTCGACCGGGTTCCAAATGGAGGGCACGGGTTGCTTGTTGGTCAGATCGGCTGAGATAAAGTTGGAACTGCCAGCAGTTTTCTTCACAGGGGACTCATAAGGATGATCCAGGGATGATAATTCTTTCTGCAAGCGCGATTCGATTTCTGTATGATGATAAAAACCAATGAGTTGATCGTAAGGCTTTTTGTTCTCTTAGAAAACGGAGGGTCAATTGACATACCTCTCTTTTCTTTTTGGAGCTGCTGATTGATTATTTCTTGGATGTCTTTGTTGTTTATGTTGAGATTAGAACGTTTGAGCTCAGAGAGTGGATGAGTTGAGCTAGACTGATCTGGCTTGGACATTTTCTTCGAGACTCTTTTGGTACGTTTACGGGATGGTGTTTTGATTATACCGGCCATGACAGCTCTAAAAAAAGGCATCAAAAAAACAGACAAGAGCGGGATAAGCAACAAAGCGGGGTTATTTGTTGGGCCAACCCGTTTTTTCTACCGTACTAACCGAGTGCCTGTTTTCTTTTCGGTGACCTTCGTCAAGGTCTCCTTGATTTCGCTGAGATGGTCTTCGAGCCATTTGTGTTGTTCATCATAGAGTGAGCTGACTTGATTTTTGATCTCTGACGCGTAGTAGGAGCATTTCAATCGAATGTCGTCGGGTAGTGCTGATCCAGCGGGCTGAGTATGTGAGGAAGGGTTCATCTCGCTTGAGACGAAGGATTACGCGATTGGATGGTGGGATGAATCGAATTCGATGGGCTCGATCGAACTATTCAAGAACCGAGCGAGCTAGGTAATCTGTTTTCGGATCGGGTTTCGAATGTGCCGAGTTGGTGGTTCCAGTGGCAACGCGATCCCCAGCTTGATTGACTGGCGGTCGATGGTCTCAAATAAGGAGGATTATTGGTTGTACTTTGGATGGATGTGCTGAGAAGAAAAGACAGGATGATAAATACTGAGGATGGATGTTGTGGTCAAGAGGAAGGAGATGACTGAGCTTGGTCAACTCCAGGCTGTGTCTTCTCATGCGCGCGCGGCTGAGCAAACACTGCGCCAACCCAACCATCCCCGATTATGTAATCTCCCACCACCATCGAGTCCACAGAACCACTGCCAGCTTGTAAAAGTCATGTTCCCCAATCCACAAACAAATCCAACATGCATAATATGTTTCCTTACTCCGCTTGCACCAAGGGTGTAGGTCTCCGGGCCTTCCAAGTTCTCCTCAGGCTCAGGATGCAAGTGGGCCGGGTTCGGGCCAAAAAACAGTGCCCAAACCCGCCCCGCACAATACCCCGGGTCGGGTCAGAATTGAAAATAAGTTGTCCATACCCGCCCCGATGTTAAGGCAGGCGGGTCCGGGGCGGGTCCGGGGCGGGTCGTGTCTGACCCGAGCCTCTAGAGCGCTACAAGCCTGCAAAAAGTGATTTGCAACTTTACGCATTCTTTTCATATGTTGTTTAGTATTCATTTCGTGTATTTATGTGACATGAAAGAGAAAATTGATAGTGGCATTCTCCGTGTGTGACAATAAAAGAGAAAAAACAAACAGGAACAATAGATAATTGAAAAAAAAATTGGCCTAGGTGATAACTATCACATCTTCTACATCATCTTCATCATCTTTGAGGTCATAGAGGCCCTCATCGTGGAAGATCCAATCCTGGCCACATACAAGAGCCTCAAGGGTTTCTGGCTTCAGTCGGCTACGAGAATCACTAAGCACCCTACCCCCAGTCGAAAATGCTGATTCGGATGCGATTGAGGTCATTGGAATCATGAGGATGATCTTTGCCATCCTTGCAAGAGTAGGAAATTGGAGGGAATTGACCTTCCACCAGATGAGAAGGTCAAACGATGGGGAGTCAATGTCAACGGTCGGTTCTTGAAGGTATAAGTCCAATTCGGCCGATGGCGAGGGTGCACTGTGATTGGACTTCTTCCCAGCAAGATACGCCTTGAATCGATCGTTGTCGTCATTTCCATCTTCTGTGGACTTCGTTCTCTTATCTGGTTTATCAGTCTGTGGAGCGGGAGCCTGGCATCTAGCAAGGTCATTGAACCAACTGTAGATATTGGATTTGATTTGGTTCAGGCTAGCTGCAGCCGCTTCGGTACTGAGCTCGTCGGAGATTAAGAAATTGATGAGTTCGAGTTTGCACCTAGGGTCAAAGACGATGTTGATTGCCGCAAAGTCGTCCATCTTCTTCCAGTATTTCTCGTACTTTTCCTTCATTGGTGTTACCATGTTGATAATATATTCCGGTCCAGTTTTAATTGCATCGTTTAGGTGTTTATCGATTTTCTTCATATTTTTGTATAAGATATGTGCAGTCGGAAATCGAGTCTTTCCAAGTTTCAATGTCGCTGTTGTAGAGGGAAATGAGAAAGATTTTAGAAAGTTAGAAACCAACAGAACAATTGTGAAGTAGTGGAAAAATCAATGAGCGACTAACCAGTGTTGAATAGAGATAGGAAATCATGCATCGATTGTACTTCTTCCCACTGCTCATTGGTCGGACAAGTCGTGAAGTTTGCATCTTCCAGAGACAAGTTATCAAAAGCCTCCTTGTATGGCAGGGCTGATTTAAGCATGAAGTAGGTGGAGTTCCATCGGGTCGGTACATCAACCAAAGGGAGAGCTTGTTTTTTTATTTTCGTCTGCTTGATGGCATTGTGGAATGCCTGCTTGCGAGAAGGAGTACTTTTCACGTATCGCACACTTTCACGTATTTTACCAATGCCTTCAGTGATAGTCTTGAGGCCATCCTTGACGATTAAGTTGATGATGTGAGCCGCGCATCGAACATGAAAGAATTTGCCGTTAAACTCAAGGGCATTCTGGCTTCGATCTTTCAGGATTGATAGTACATGAGAAATCGCCACGTCGTTTGAGCTAGCATTGTTGACGGTTACAAAAGCAACCTTATCAACGATTTTCCATTCGCCAATGGTGGTTATGAGTTGCTTTCCGATGGCAATTCCAGTGTGAGGCGTCGGAAGTTCTTTGAATGTGATTAATTGTTTTTGAAGGGTCCAGTCGGCCGATATATAGTGAGCTGATACCTCCATGAAGGGTGTTTGATTAGATGACGTCCAGAGGTCCGTGGTCAGCGCCATCCGATTGACCTGGCTGATCTTGCGGGCAATATCGCCTTTCATCGAATTGTAGAATTGCATCACATCGGACCGGAGGGTGGTGCGGGAGAAAATTTTGAACTTTGGTTGAAGTGAGGCTAAGAATTTTCGAAACAGAGGATTATCGACCAGCTTGAAAGGTTGTTCGTCGGCAATGATCATCTTCGTCAAGAGTTTGTGTGATTCCTCCTGAGAAAATACCCACGGCGAAGTCGTTACAGACGATGTCTTGAGCAAACTTTGCTTATTTTTACTTTTGAAGTCACTGCATCGTTGGAGATGCCGCCAGAGGTGGTTCGTTCCGCTTTTACTCTTGCCGCTCAGGACCGTCTTGCAACTACAGCAAGTCGCTGTCAAATTATCACCTGAAGGAGTAAGTCATACTTCAGTGATTAATGACTATACAAAAGTAAGAAATCAGAATTGAGGTATGTTAACTCACCAGATCCATGCTCTTTGAAATGAATCCAAACTTTGCTAGTCGTTTTCCTTTTCTTCATGGTTGGTTCAGTGCTAGCTTCAGAATCTTGGGTTGAAGTGGCATCCATTTGATGTGACTTCTTGACAGATTGAGCACGGTTCCTCGGAGTTGGAGTTGGGGCTGTGGAAGGGGAATCTTGCGATACCGGAATCTCCACATCTGATTCAGAATCCGATTCCGATTCGGAATTGCTGGCAGTTTGACCGCTAGTAGTGACGTTGGTTGTACTCGATGCCACTGGAGTGGATTTTGCTGGATGAGGGCGCTTTTTTCCGCGAGGCATCTTGATTGTTGCCGTTAAAATGATAAGGTTGGTGAGGTATCCTGAGGGGTGCTGTAGAGTCCGAGGGTTGAATAAGAGATGATGAGGATATCATATCCTATAATCCTCATGTCTGATATCAAGAATCACCCCGATCCCCCGGGTCCCCCCCCCATGGCCATATGGCCGGGTCGCTGGGCAAAATCCGGGCCGGCCCAAGTAGATACTTGGCTGTCCACACCCGCCCCGCTGACCCGTCGGGTCAAAAGCGGGCCGGGTCGATTTTTACTCAGAAGGTGTCCAAACCCGCCCCACAACCCGTCGGGTCTCGGGTACCCGCCGGGCCGGCCCGCCCCACTTGCATCCTGACCTCAGGCGCCCAAGAACTGATAGATGTACGAGGTACTTTCCATGGGCAGGCTCAGACATACCCACAATTACTGGGGCTATCTTGCAATGCACTTTCCGGATGTATGACAGCAGGGAAAAATTGATGCCATGGGAGCAACACTACGATAAATGCAAGCACCACTTCACTCACTGTGATTTCAGTGGCTTATTCCACTGAAAAGCGCATTGTGATGTGGCATGCAACCATGATTTTTTCCAGTGATAGGATTACAGATTCAGCTCAAAAGGTATGATTACCCCCCATGCTTTCCCTGCGCAGCATCACTGGTGCTGACAGTTGGCTGGGGTCATTGGTTCATCTTGCACTCAACTTGACACTCAATTATCATGAAACAACTCTAGAAGTATTTAATCAAGCCAGGTATAGTCTTTTATCCAAAAAAAAAAACCGATTTGAAGCCCACAATGAAGTGTTTAGTTGAAATTGACGAAATTCTTTAAACAATTTACATCAGTTAAAAATTTGAAATGCATGAAGCTTTGTAGTGAGCATCTCAATTGAGTGATAAAATATATTATTGAATAAGTTCTTAAAATTTTGGTTAATCCTATTCTCATTGTTTCTTTGTTGATCAAATAATTCTTTCCTAAATTCTTCCATCCAGACCTCCACCAATACCCACACAGCTGCTATATTATTCAAGGTCCCCTTGCTTGCTATCTTGTATTTGAAGAGCTCCCACTTTGGAAATAAATTTGTCTGATATCCTGAACTGTTTTTTGTGATTGGCTCAGAAACTAGTCTCAAAAGTTTGAATGCTTCTTCTAGTGCTGAACCATCATTCTCTTTCCCCTGGTTTTTGGGAAGAACAGTGCTGATCATATCAACATAAAATAAGTATGAAAGAATTGCCTTTCTCATGGGAATAAATTTGAAACTTTCAATTGTTTCTACAAAATTTTCAGGGTTGAAATTTGGCTTTCTTAGCCAATATGCATACCAAAACTCCCTATTGTCCCAGAGTTTTTCTCTTGATGAACAAAATAGGTGGTTTCCCTTTTCTTTCTGATATTCATCTGGATTGTCAAGATTTGATTCAATGGAACCTTTTTGGTTATGGGTAAACCTACTGTGGCTGGGAATGAGTTGGGATTCAGTCACCACCAATTTTCCCACAGAAATTTTGCCTTCTTGTGAAAGTGATTCAACCAGCTTCATAATCCTTTTGTTGTTGTATCTCCTGAGTAAAGATGGAGAAAGGCAGAAAAAGAACTCTTTGTCAAAACAAAATCCCTCTGAAGGAATTTTTTTGTCAAGTGCCTCTTGGGGTGAAACATGATTATTACTTGGTGGAAGAGATAAAAATTCCATCCTTTTTTGTGAATAGATTTTATCTGAATTTCCCAAGTAAGGTATCAGATTTGAATTATTTGATTTGTCAATTAATTCCCAATTTCTGCCTGAAAAGGATGGCCCAGGCTGCATGTAAGTTACTTTTTTTCTGGCTATCTGATTTTTGTTTGCTTTGAACCTAGAATAATGAAGTTTTGAGTGTGAATTGGGAGTGGATGTAGGACTGGGTATTTTTCGCTTAAGGCTCAGAGAGCTTTCAGGGATCTGCGGTGTACTGATTATATCTTCTTTTGTAGATTCTGGATAGCTGTCTGGAAAAGCTTTGGATCCTGAGTTTTCCTGATTTTTTGATTCTGGAGGTGCTTCATTCAAATCAAGATTGAATTTTTGAAGATGGCTTTTGGGAGTGAACAGTTGATGGTTGAAATGAATCTCCAAAGGTTCTTGTTTGACGGAGCTCAATTGTCTGAAATGGTTGTTGCAGTTATCATCCATCTCACATGGCTTCAAGTTTAAATCCAATGTCTCATGTAATTCCTGTGTTACCTTGCATTTCAAAATCAATAGAAATCCACATTTTATGTGATGAATTGCTAGTTTCATTGTTTTGAGTATTCTGGTATGGAAAGTTGTCTTCAGAGATAAAGGAGTTCAAATAATGTTGCTAATTCAATTCAAGATTCACTGCAAAATATTCAAATCCCCAGTGGCTTTCAGGAATTTCAGGCCATCATTCATATCACAAAGTCTCACAGCAACAAAGCAGAACTGAAACATCAAATCATGACACAAATGCTCTTTGCTTTCAAAATCTCAAACAGGTTACAGGCTCATGAAGTTTAAATATGTACACCCAAGTTCTGAGTTCAGCTGAGTTCTGTTTGATTCCCTACCTCTGTGGGGTTTGATTGAAGCTGTTACATTTACATAACTTGTAATGGAGTGCACAAATTTCAAGAGCTCTCATACAATTGAATGTCTGAAAGTGATGTCAGAGTCGGCTGGGGCAAACTTGACATTTTTTATAATTAAAGTCTAAGAGAACTGACAAACACATGTTACAGTTAAGTCATGAATGTATTTCAATTCTTGCGCTGAATGTTAAAAAAAGTATTCAAAATTTAGCAGAATTTGGCTCAAGGGCACAAAGTTGAGATAGTCAAAATAATGAACAGATCCATCTCTTGACAAATTGGACGTCCCCAGACAGGCAGAATAGTCATCATGGATACAACCGAGTCCAGCCAAATCTGCTGCAAATATTTTCCAAATCTTTTGACTTTTTATAAGGGGATTGAGTGCAACAGGACCCTTATCTCCATTTTTCACAAAAATGTAACTGTATGACATTTTTGTGCCTTATACATGTAGCTGCCCATCTATTTGCCTTGAAAGATTTGATAGTCTCTATCGCATGATGCTAAAGAATACAGAAGAGTTGAATCGAACATGATGAATCACTAAAAATCAAAATATGCTATCTGAGAGTCAAGTGCAGAAACGACTAGAAATACAAATCACTTGAGAATTGTCTGTTTCGAAGGGAAATGCAGGAATGACTAAAAAGTAGATACCAACACAGGCGATCAATTCGGTTTGAGATTTTGACCTTTGGTTTACGAAGCAGGAAGCCCTTTGGCCCGTTTTTGAGATACGAAGTAACTTTTTACTGATTCCAATATTACGCAACGTTGTCTGCATATATTACAACGATCAAGTTCACCATGTTATGTCAGCAAACAACTTGATGGTGATGGGGTTTTGAATGTTTTCATAACACTCACGCCATAGTAGGTTCTTCAAGTTAGTCCAAACCTCGGAGTCAAGATAGAGATCTACAGATAGAAGAGGCGATCAAGAGTGTCTTAAGTTTACAATCAGACTTAAAATGACTTGGGCGTGGATTAGAGCTCACATTGCATACTGTTGATCAGACCACCTTGCAGTCTCTCTCTTCGCCAGCGGAAGAGCCACATAACAGCGCCCCACGTGAGTGCTGCATAAATTTCGAAAATTCGTTTATCAATTGGAACCGAGGCGGGGTAGGGAAATCCTGGTGGTCGAGGCATGCCATTAGGAGCAACGTTTCCGTGCCCAAGTGGGGGTTGTCGGATGCTTGAAGGACTCGGAGTGTTCTGGGTCACAATTATCCCAGGATGGCTTGAGGCACTCGATGGGCTTGCCCGGGGTAAGAAGGAGGAAACGACCCGAGAAACACAGTACAAAACGATCTGAAATGCATCACACAGAATCAGTTCTCAACTCTTGAGGTATTGGGGGAAAACGGATTCCTGCTACAGACTTGCTCATTGATTGCATTTCGCTCGCCGAACACAACCCATCCACCAATCAAACCAGCAAGGAAGGTGTCTATGCTCCTTTCTTTACCCCCATTAATTCTTCGTTGGAGCAAAAGGGCGGTTTTGTAAATGGTTACAAATTTGCTAAGGTTTAATGCATGCTGTCTGGTTGCGTTGACCACGAACCGAACACGATCCTTCCATCTATATCGTCAAGTAGAAGCTTGTCAGTTCTGATCAAGGAAGATGCTTCTACCAGACCCATAAGTCACTAGATTTGCTTACTCACGGTCTGTCACCATGAAAGATCAGAGTCATGACCAAAGCATGTGGAAATCGGATTTTGGCACCATAGACCAAGCCGTTACGAGCTCCCTTGAGGATAGCTAGGATGTCGTGATAACGCGGGTCGGAAACCAATGTGTTCAGAGAGTCCATTTTCGAATGATTGATCTCTTGGGGCGAATGGTATGGCTCCAGATAGTCAACGACGGGGTGATTTGCAAATTGGAGAAGATGGGAGAGCGTCAGCCAGTGAGGTACACGCGGTCCTCGGGACGCCGCCATGACCGATCGGGGCGGCCGACTCGGGGCTCACGTGCTGCCCCGTGCTACCCGAGTGGAATGGTGGATAAATCATCAAGCTCAAATCAAGCTCATTTGACTGCGAGCATCAAAAAATCTCCTCTAGATGGCCCTTCTTCTGGGGTGCTTAATGGAGGATGATGACATGGCAAATTCAGATTATTACTTTTTTTATTTTATTTTATTTCTCTTTTTTTGCTTCAGCTTTTGCTTTCTTAATGCTTGCTTCCTCTCAGTGGCTTGTCTTAGTTGCTTATAACTATGGACTCTTCAGCCTTTTCACTTTTGTTTGAGATGCTCGTGGCAGGGACCCTTCGACAAATTTAATTCAACACGTTCCTGTTAAAAATCACCTATCCTACCCCCCTCCCCTCAGAACATCTCCTATCCTTTATCCTTGAAATTACTATCAATTCTTTCTTATAGCTCCAAAACCAAACCTCTTCCTTTTTTATCTTGATGTAAAAATCCAAGGTTTAAACTTTGGAATTTTCAGGTCGATCCCTTTGGAACTGAGAAATATTTTTCCGGATTTCCCAAGTTGACATCTGATGCTAGCATCAGATAATTGAGATTTACTTTTTTGAATTCTCAGAGCATCCGCATCAGTCGTTAACTTAGTGCGGATTAAGGCACTTAGTCCAGCCTCGCAACCGCACCGGTCCAGATTACGACAGGATCAACTTGACTCGGATCTCCATTTGGAGCTAGTCGGGTCTAAATCTAGACCTCACTAATCCTGGGAACAAGTGCTCCATGCATATTCAAAATGCATGAAAGCTTTCCCATAGCTGTAAACAGCTCCGATCGAGTCGGACAAACCAACTTTAAATCCATAACACATAGATCTAAGTGATCTCCGCCACCCCCGATGCCCGATGTGGCTGAAGCCTAAAGAATAGCTTAGTCATCGACTAATCCGAGCTCGCTAGCCCGGTATAACTTGTCCACTGATGCGGATGCTCTCAGGCCTAACAATTAATACCATGAACCCAGGGCCCGCTCCACATTCTTTACTTGAGTCTTCTCACTCAACCCCAATTGTCTTTCAAAACAATTGACGCCTATAGCACTCGTCATACCAGCTATGCATTCCTAAAATGATGGAACAACTCTGTGGAAAGCCACATAGCAGCCGGTTAAGACCATTGGATGATAAGTGGACATTCAGGACTGAAAAAAGAAATGCAAGGATCCGATGGATTTGAGTGAGATAATTTGTGGACTTTGAAAGCTGAGACAAGGATAATCAAGAGCCCAATAGATTACAAGTGAAGAGATCAATAGATAGGGTAGTTGGGTAAGATTTTCCCGATCCACTGGTCTGGTTTAGCTTCATGATTCGGAAACACGAGAGAAGGCGCTGGCCTTGGGGGACACCAACTTCACTTCTGTTTAACGTGAAGATTTGGATAGCCCTTGAGTTAGTTCAACAACTTGAAAGCACCAGAGAATCCGGCGCCGTCAGAACGAAAGAGGCTCCTCACCTTCTCTTTTCCTCCCATCCCTTGGCACGTTGTTTTCGGAGCCGTTCAGCAGGTGTGGCCGGCCTCGGTTTCACAATCCTCAGGAACGACGCTGGTCTTGTTGAGTCCCGAGACACTTATGGTTTGCAACAACATCACGAAGCCGATGAAGGAGGCCAATGAGAAATTCATGGTCTGTTTGATTTTTTCTACAGATTTTTGAGAGCACTTGAAGAGTTTATGACGATCTTCTTGTTGTAAGGTGTGTTGTGAGGGCGAGATGGGGAACCATTGCTTGCTGAAGGGCCTGTTTATAAGTGCTCCACTCGCCTCCCTTTAGGTCCTCAGCGGGTAGCTCATCGGAGCGTATCTCCCGGACATTGCGACTTGAGTTGGTGCCCTGATTCAACTCCGGACGGACTTTGTCAACTTTTGTGACACACCCTCAGCTCATTCGTACATCGTCCTCATTATATCGGATATAATTTGACAAACAAGTATATTTTACGGAAGTTGATGAGGCCCGATATCGCGGGAGTTGTCTGAGGCTTTTGCGATGATTTCGTTTGATCTCGTAGGGCAGTTCCTCAAAAAGTTTCCCTGTTCGTTTGAGAACTTTCTGGTATGTAGAAGACATGATCTGTGCCTGACACATTGTTGCAAATGAGAGAAATCAGCCAAACAACCAACAAACAGGTGAGCAACTGTGTCTAACTGGGTGTCATCGAGACTGACAGGATGCTTGGGATCTTACATACGGCGCGATGTGGCATAGGCGGATCGTGGGGATTATCGTAGTAGAACAACACCGCTTTTGTCCGTAAAAATGCGCCGAAAGTCTAGAGCGGATGGAGGATATCAAAAGAGGCCCTTTGCCCACAGATCCGTCCGGGCAAGCCCCCATCAGTCCTCCGTACCCAATACAAAACCGTCGGCCACACTTGCAATCAAACTTTTGTTCCTACAAGCAAACAAACCATGTACTTCTCAGTATAGCCTTTGTTTTCGGCTTCGTGTTGTCACATATTGAAAACCGTGAGCGTCTCGGGCTTCAACCGCACCGCGCGTGCCATCAAGACTTGCGGCCCCGACCCTGGCAACGGCTGTCCAATGGACCGAAAATGAGATGTGTGAAGCAATGGGAGGGAGGGAAGAGGTGAGGAACCCCTTTCGATGTATTCTGCAGGATCCTCTTCAAGCTCTTCCATTGCTCATCTGACTTGGAGCCTTATCTCTTCACGTTGAACAGAGTCTCCAAGTTGGCGATCCCCAAGGCCATCACTTTCACTTGGCACTTCCGACTCTATGTAGAAGCCAGGACAGTCCCCCAGTTCCGAAACGCCTTTATAGTACCCACGCGTCTATGTATCTTCCCTCGCGCATTCATTTTTCCCCATGTCTATCAGTTTCCAAACCAATTTTCTTACTCGAATTCAGCTGATCCTTGTGGAGTGATTCATGGTTGATTACTCACCCGACATCCAATGAAGTGACCTCTCTGTCTCGTGAATTGTTGTAGAACCAGATCTTGATTCCAGAAATTTAACTCGTGTGATGATTGCTGTATGCGCCGCTTCTTTTATCGAGCCAAGTAGGACTGAGTGAGGAGACATGGCTGAAGAGAAGCTAGTGACATGATCGAAAACAGGTTGTTGATAGAGTGAATGCTCCTACTGGACTTGGCAAAATTTGCTGCCACACGCATCGCGTACTTGAAGCCTGCTCTACTTATGCATATTAATGGCATCTAGTTTCTGCCTGGAAGGCTTTCTCAAGCTGCAGATAGGAGGATCTATCCAGCCTGTTTTGTGGCCCTGGTTGAAGGAAGTTGTCATAGACTGCAAGGTCGACAGAAGCTGTGCTTCGCCGAGTTGAGTGAGTAGTGCCTGTCACCATGGCTTGACGGCCTCCTCTGGAAGCTCAGTAACATCTTCATCGGTGTAGATGCGGGTCATCGCAACCAATGTGCGTCTGACTCTCACAGAGGTTCAGATGTGAGGGTGATTCGGCCGCTTTCTTAACGAAAACTGCTCGTGACACAGAAAAATAAGTGTAATCCCTCAAAAAGCAATGACTCATAAGCACTTCGAGTCGAGTTTTTTTTTTTTTTGGACAGCCAGTATGTATAGCTCTGATCGTTTGAAAGCTCAAAAAAAAAACCCCACATTCTAGACTACATGAAGTTTGTTTTCTTCTCTATAGACAGCTGATATAAATCTGATGATTAGATTTTTTTTTTCAAGACAAAAAAACAAACATGCTACAAGGAGGTTATGATGAAGAGACAATTGTCACGGATGCTACAGTTGGACGGAAAGGAATGAAGATGGCCTCAATAACTACCTGCAATACCGCCATGCAGTCCCTCCCAAGCTACAGGGACCAAGTCTCGTGGATGAGGAGGTTTCGCAGCAACATGACCGCCAGCAAGCTCCCAAAAGAACACGCCCCCAAGTCCGCGTTGGCGGACAAAGTGAGTTTTCCACGCCATGCTCGTGGGGGAATCGTATGAACACCATTCCTTTCCATCGTATGAATAGGCCACTCCTAGTTTACTGTCATGGTATTCAGTTGCGTTTGGGCGAGGGAGCGTCTGCGGGTGGCATACAAAACCGTCTATGATCAGCCATGCTGGTTGTTATCAGCAGGTTGAGAGTCTCTCTTATCTTACGTTATACATATGGGTCCCTTCACTTGTAGCCTCTTCCTGGGGACCACAGACACGGTCATAATGGTGTCCACAGATACCAGTCTTAGTAATGAACGAGCGAGAATACATCGGGACTCCAAGGATGAGCTTGTGCAGCGGCACCCCGCGGGAATGATAGAAGTGAATCGTCGATTCTGCCGAGAGCCCCTTGCCGTGGTGAGAATGCAGCGGAGCATGGTGGTTCAAAGTTTTGTCCCAACTTCCGGATGCATCATATGTCATCAGATAAATCCTAATTTCAAGGCATTTCCGCAGTCATCAGCAAAGCATCCATTTCATTCTGGGCGTGGCTCAAACGTCTCTTTGGTTGCGGATAAGAAATGGACGCTCACCTATCGAGTACCTCGTTCATTTCGCGTAGTGGTAGATGAGTAGCAGACCATTCACCCATGCTAGTAGCTACTGACAGTATGTAGCGTTCTTGGCGACCAAGCTCATGGCCCAGCTGATCCAAACCCGCTCGAGTATGGCGAAGTAGCTCGAGGAGTCCGCGCCCTTCGGCATTGTTTTCGGGATGCTCGTAATCTTAGGATTCGAATCATAATCCATCCAAGCGAATTCATCAGTTTTCTGATAAGAAACATGACGTTGAAAAAGTGGGTGCATAAGAGAAACGGAGCTTCACCAACGTCGATCCCATCAAACCCATACTTCCGACATAGTTCTTTGCAGTCATGGGCGAATTTACGCATGGCGTGTTCTGATTTGATGATCCGTTGGAAGCTGCTCGTGATCTCTCCTCCCGCACCACCGACAGAGAGCTGACATCGCAGTTTAGTGTTCCGATATTTCATGATTGCAATCTCGCCAAGATTTCCCTGTTTCAAGTCGAGCAAAGTTTATTGGTGTTAGCAGCAATTCGTTGTTCAGACCGAATCAAAAGAGTACTGATTCTCGATCAAAATCTAAAACAAACAACTTACTTTGAATCCCGGATCAAACTCGGGCGTCCCAAGAGAGGGCTCGAAGGGTTTTTCAACATCTCCCCAAGGATCCGACAAGGAAACCTCACCGGTTGGAGTGATCTTGGCAAATGCATACCTAGAGAAACAAAAATCCAAATGTAGAAAAATAAGTTCGATCCAAGTCATTAACAGATGTATTGCAAAACAAAGTCTGAGAATGATAATTGAACACGAACAAGATCGTATTCAGGTGGTAGTAGGCGGTCTGGGAGGGCGGAAAGGGTGGCTTGGAATACACGGTCCTAAAGCGGGGGCCAATGTCACTAGGAGTCAGAGATGATGATTTCAAGTATCGAAAAACAGCTGTTGTTAGATCGAATTACCAATTTGCATAATAACTGTTCCAGCAAGAAAAGCGATGCCGACAGTCAGCATCATCATTTACGGATTGATTTATGAGAACCAATCCATCACTTACCCTCCAAGCACTGGTTCTTGGTGGTGCTGTGGTACGACACCTTGCGAAGCGTTCGGTCGTGGTGGTAATGGGGGATTGTGGCCAGGACGGGTGTGGACTGGGATGTGTCAGGTGAGGGGCAGGACATGAGGCTCGACAACGCATTTTTTGTTTCGATCTTCAAGAAATAGCTCTGAGACTTACATGGGATCTTGGGGGCGATGTGGTTGATGAAGCTCTTCATCGTCTGTGTATGTATGTATAGCGCCAGGAGGTTTGTCCAAGTGGTAGCCGTGGGGGTTTCCTGCAAGCCTGGATGCAGAAAGAAGCGAAAGAGTGAGTTGGAGAAAGCCAGTTGAACTCATCGACAACTCAACTTCAACCTTCTCTTTTGAATCTACCAACCCCAGGGCTGATCAGTTGATGGTCATGAACATCTAATCTCATCGAACAACCTATTCAAATCCGCACCTTGCAAGATCGCTCATGACGACTCCCCCTTCGACACAGAAACTTGTGGATTTTAGAGGATTAGTCCTCGACCAGGGTGTGCTTCATCAACATCAGCTTCCCGGATCACTTTCCTCAACATTCCACCGTCACCTCCCATCCTGAACGCAGAGGCAGCCCTGCCCAAACCTCCTCGACGAGAGCGTCTACATAATGTGAGAAATGTTTACTGTCCAGAAGGTCTAGTAGCATATTCTTTTTGTGCTCCATTTGAGATCCAATTTCATGTTGTGTGGGTATGCCCGGCCGAGGAGGGGCTTGGCAACTACGTTGAGTGTGAGTAAGCACAAGGCTGGGCTGTTTGACAGCCTGTATTTTACATTCACCGCGCCTGCTTCATGCCCAACGGGTACTTGAACTCCTTCCCTTGTTCCGCAAACAAAATCTCCCAAGTTGAAATTTATCGAATATTTGGTCTGATCAGCTCCGCCATCTTCATTGCAACTCTCCATTCGTCATGGCCTCAACTTACAAGATCGTAACTCTGCCCGGAGATGGTATCGGTGCGTCGTATGATGAGCTGAACCTCATCCGACGCTATTTGGAATAATGCTGACGGGCTCATGAAACTTTTGAAAAAAACCCAGGCCCGGAGGTTATCGAGCAAGCAAGCCGAGTCTTGGATGTCATCTCTGAATCTGGCAAAGTCAAGTTTGAAGTCAAAGCTTGCGATTTCGGCGGGATCGCTATCGATAATCACGGCAACCCACTTCCACCCTCCACGCTCCAAGCTTGCCAAGAAGCTGATGCGATCCTCTTGGGTATGTCTGTACGAGTGCATACCTCAGCCCTCCGAAACCCATCACTCACATTGGATTTCTTTTTTTTTTTTCCTGAAGGTTCGGTTGGAGGACCCAAGTGGGGCGTAGGCAAAGTAAGACCTGAACAAGGCTTACTAGAGCTGCGAAAGACCCTCGGTTTATACGCCAACATTCGACCAGCTCTATTCCCTTCGGAGTCCTTGGTCCAACTCTCTCCTCTCAAAGACTCGATCGCCTCTGGAACCGAGATCATAGTGGTGCGAGAGCTGATCGGAGGGATCTACTTTGGCCAACGAACCGAGGCGAGCTCGTTCGAGGCCGACGGCGGAGAAGCAAGCGTTGCCAAGGATGAATGCAGCTACAGTGTCGCCGAAATCCAGAGGATCGCTCGAGTCGCCGCCTTTTTGGCAATGACCACCTCTCCTCCCATGGCTGTTCATTCAGTCGACAAAGCTAACGTTTTGGCAACCTCTCGTCTTTGGAGGAAGGTCGTCACCGATCTGTTTGCTAAGGAATTCCCTCAACTTGCGTTGGACCATCATCTCGTCGATTCAGCTGCCATGTTGATCTGCTCCAACCCTAAAAAGCTAAACGGAATCGTCTTGAGTAAGTTACACTTGGCTCTCGTTTTTCTTGAACTCTAGACTTATGAAGGCGTGTTCTGACTAAACCTGCTTCCATGATAGCCGAAAACCTCTTTGGCGATGTTCTCAGTGATGAAACCTCTGTGATTCCGGGCTCGCTCGGCCTTCTTCCCTCGGCATCCTTAGCCGGAATCCCTGACCGCAAGTCGAAATGTTTGGGTGTCTATGAGCCAATCCACGGGTCTGCACCAGACATCGCTGGCAAAGGGATTGCCAATCCAGTCGGCACAATCCTGTCCGTGGCACTCATGTTGAGATACTCACTGGGCTTGGACCGCGAAGCAGAGCAGATCGAGCTGGCCGTCCGCCAAGTCTTGGATTCCAAGGACGCTGGCGGTCATGGCCTACGAACGGCTGATCTCAAAGGACAAGCATCGACTAAACAGCTCGGCGATGCCGTCGTCTCAGCCCTCAAGACCATCATTTCCTCCTGATCGCTACAGTATTTCCAAAAATCATGGTGCATGGGTACATAAACATGTAAACCTATCTTGATTGAGCTTAAAAAACATGTAGATGTGTACATATTTGCATACATATATCATCTGTGTCTGGATAGTCTCAATTGATTCAACTGATAGGAGACACTAGCAAGCGAATATTTCGGAAGTTACTTGCTCTTCTCAAGCAACATTGAGCTGGCCCATATATTTCACCTTTCATGGGAGCCTAAAAGCAGCATGGGAGAGTGACGGTGTTATACACCTGCTCGTTTAACTGCGGCGAAGGCTTGCCCGTCAAAAGACCCGCCTGGGTTGAGAGGAAGTTCAAGTACTGCTAGTCTGGGTAGGATTTTAATTCCAATCTAATGGTTTACAAAATTGCACAACAACTCTATTGATGTATTTGTCACTAAAAATACATGAAGCTCAGCTTACATAGGAAGATCTATTGAAATCATAATAACAATCTCGGCTTCATGACTCGCCTGCTACTCATGATAGTGGATTGTGGTTCATAGGCATGTATTTCTTGTGTGGTTTTCAAGGCTTGCTGGTTGGTCTTGAAGGAAGAACGAGCAGAGATGCTTGACAGGATATCTATGAGGCTGCAAGAAAGCTCTTGAGGTCTGACGTCAACGAAGGTGTTTTTAAGGAGACGATCTGATAGTCATAATCTTTGAGGTAGTTGAACCAAGCGGCGGAAACGTAGTTCTTCATCTCCGACCTGGCCGCGGTCACTTGGGAGAGCCAAGAAAACCGCTCGGCGGGCGTGCCTGCGTAGCCGAGCCTGATTCCAAAAAACTAATAATTAGCCCACGCAGGTAAGCTCTAATTTCTTGTGATCGTCGACTACTCACCCAGTCTCACCAATGGCAAACATGCGCCCATCCACGGCATACTTATCATGAAATGGCTTCATGGTATCGAGGAATTCTTTACCAGTTTGGAGCGATTTAGGATAGAAATCTATGCCAACCAAATGGACGGTAGACATGTCATCGGGCTCATATTCGGCGTAGTTTTCCGCAGAAGCAACGTTGGGCGTCCACCACATCTTCACGTCGGGTGCAATGCTCTTGCAAGCAGCGGCGACGGCGGCCCAGCCAGCTTTGAAATCCGCCGCATTGCCGACGTAGGTCCCATCGGTTTGATAACTATAAGCCAACGAAGGAAATTGACAGTCGTAAGGGCAATTCAGTATGAGGTCAAATCAGGATCATTAATCTGACTGGAACTCACTAGTTCATCTCATGGGCGAAACGAAGCCAAACTGGAATGCCTTGATCAGTAAACTTCTTCATTACTTGCGCGCTTGGTAAGGTTAAACAAAACAAGGATAATCAGTGAATTGAACAAGGTGAAGAAGAAGAAGAAGAGATCAGAGCTCACATCGCCACAGCTTGACTATTGTCCGAGCTGGTTAATCCCTTCCAGCCTTGCACAGGCATGACTGCCGGTTGGAAGACAGCGCCGGACGCTTTGACGTCATCGATGACTGCGGTGAGTTGAGCGCCATCAAAGAGTGTCCCGCTGACAGCCTGGCCATACCAGCCGTAGACGGAAGAAACCTGACCGACGGCGGAGTTGATATCAGCCATAGTTTGTCTAGTCCCCCCGGCATCACCGCCGTCTGGAAGGAATCCAAGGCTGTCGGGAAAACTTGAGTATTAGGAGCACTTTTGCGCGTCTGGCAAGAAGATTCACTGATGTGCTGGGACTCACGAGAGACCATTATGACTAAGATGGCTGCTGTCTAAACCCATGACGGCCGCGGGCGCTGCTGCATTTCCTGATGCAACAGGTGTGGAAACTGTCGAGGTATTGGATGGCTGACTCGCCGTGGAGTTGTCGCTCACATCCGCTGATGATGCCGAAGTAGACGAATTCTGCAGTGCGGTGGAATTATCGCTTGGAGTGACTGGCGCCGAAGTCGACGAATCCGGCGACACAGTAGTGTTCGCTGAAGCCACTGATGCGGTGGTGTTTCCGCTGGTGTCAGTCTGGTTGGCTTGCGTCTGAGGGGCGGTCTTACGCCCGCCGGATCTCGCAGGCGATCGACTGATACGCTCATGATCTATGCGGGTAAGGAGGAAAGATAACGAGCTGGTCAATAACCGTGCCGAAGAGCTGTAACTCACGGCATCGAATCCCATATAAGGGAATGCTTCGCCAAGGCCCAACGTCAAAGAAATAACACTTCTCAGACATAGAGCCCACCTTTCGATGACGGTATCGTCGGCTAGTGGAAGACGCGTGTGAAGTGGCCCCAGACCTAACATCGTCATTCGCAAATTCGTCACAAATGGCGCCCAGCACCGGTAAGAAAGCTACGAAGAGTGAGGAGAGAAACATGATTTATTATCGATTAATTATAGCTCTAATGGGTGTGATAGTTTTTTTTGTTTAACTTGTGGCATCAAAAACACAAAGATAATGGCACGCTTCTTATAGGAAGCACACTCCAACTGATTGCAATGCACATATTGAGAACTGAGAGACTGAGACATCAGGGTGAATCGAGCTTTCTGTGCCGGTAGACGAGGGTGATGACGGTCCAAGCACAAGGTCCTTTAAGCATTTTTTAATGGAATGGTCAGGTTTGACCATGCTTTAAGCCGTACAAGAAATGAAATGGTTTGAAGAACAATCTGTTGCTCGACGCGTCTGGTGGGTAGCATAACGTACGATGTATGATGAAAGTATACCGTCTTTTCGGTAAGACTGTCTTGGAAGCCCAGGATAGCGGTGCAAGTCGGAACCGGCTCCACTTATTAGAGCTGATCCTCGGTTTCATCGCATAGCCTAGTGAGCTGGCTTACAGCCGACCTCCGTGCGCGTCATGGGACCCCAATCGGCTGCCTTTGAGGGTGTGGACACATGTCCGGCAGCCGTTTTGTCCTCGCGGGGCTCGCAAGACGGCTTGAAAAACGAGCTCATTGATGGCTGGCGTGCATGATCTGAATCAGACCTCCATCTGATTGCCTATCCATGCATCTTGCCATTGGCATCTAATGATAGGCGTTTCCCATTGAGCACGGTTAAAACTTGACAGGAGTCGACCCCGGAAAGATGATGGACATCTTTGGGTTCTTGCTCATGATTTGTGACCGTTGCAGGTACAAGTTCCACGGGGCTCGAAGCTTTTGCGATTATATGTGAGGCAGGCACAGGCCAGCATGGACTCGAAGTTGGGGCAACAGTAGGCAAAAAACCGTCCTTGGCGTTATTCATGAGGTGCTGTGGACCTCGCGCAAAAGGATTTGTCCGCGAACAGAGTGTTGCTTGATCGTACAATTGTACGTGACGCGTCGAGTTAACGGATTGCTCTCCGAACCCTTTGATTTTTCTTACGGTTTGAAGCGCAGCAACGATCTGATCGATCTGCGGATTGAGAGCATGTACACAATCGACGCACAAAGATATTCTTCAGCTTCGGCAAAACATTCTGTTTCACTGAACCGGCCAACATTTGGGTTGACGAAGTCTGCCATTGAGTAATACCAAGGAACTTTCCGAAAGTTTCGGAACAGTGCACATTGATAAGAGCAACAAAATTATCCTCTGCCCACGAAGCTCTTAAGTAGCACTAGTACTTCTACAGAGCAATTTGCTCATAGTGAATTTGTGAATGGGAGCAAGCCTCATGTCACTTCTTGGTTGGGTTGATTACTCTGTCTAACCCATTCTCACAAATCGTTATGAATTTGTCGGCGTGTCTATCAATCATCACACAAGATATATTCTGAGTCATGGGGTCGCGCTTGTGAAAGTCGCGATGCTGAGATACGTGAATACTGGACAACAATATAGAGAACGTCCGATTGGGAAAAGGAATCAAGTTATCTCCACAGCACAAAATCAACAGTAATCTCCGATTGTGTTCTTAAACAGGACGTGAGGACTTTCGGAACTGGGACAAATACAAAAATCGAGGCGGAGGTAGCCAGATAACATTTACGGCATAGCATTGACAGGGAGTCTCTTTTTGTTTCTTGAGTCAGAAAAAAACAGAGAGAAGGGGCCGGGAACCATCGGGATCGCAGCTTGGTGAGACTCTGTTAAACGTAGAAATAGCCTGGCAGTCAGTTGGTAAAATTCGAAAAGATAGTCTGGAGAGACACTTGCATAGTAAGAAACAAAATGGGCTCACCTCTGCCGTCCTTAACGCTGCTGATCGTAAGATTCGATTATTAGCAGATACAGTCGGGCTTGGCTGCACTATTCCCTTCCTTGTCAAGAGGCAAGGCCGTCGTAGTAGTAGCTTGCAAGACCATTACGAATCCGAAGAGGGAGACTAATGAGATGTACATAGTGTTTTTTTTGGTTCGGTCTTTCGAGATCTGTAAGAGTTGTTCTTGATAGCTATCAGAGT